GGCTTCGACATCAAATAGTTCTTCACATCCATAGCCAACCCACAAAAAAATGGCCAAACCGAGGTCACGAATCGCACCATACTCAAACACCTCAAAACAATGCTTGGAAGTGCCAAGGGGAAGTAGGTGGATGAATTGCCCAACGCCCTATGGGCATATTGAAATACCCCACTAGCAGCAACCGGACAATCGCCTTTTAACTTGGCTTTCAGAGCATAGGCTATCGCACCCGTTGAAATCGGTGAACCATCTTGGCAATTCACCAATTATAATCCCGAGGCCAACAAAGAAGCTATGCGAGGGAGCCTCGACCTTGTAGATGAGCTACGAGAGATTGCATGCGTCCGATAGATGTACAAAACGCGCATGGCCAAGGCCTATAACTCTAAGGTCCGCCCTCGATCTTTCCAAGTGGGAGACCTAATCCTCCAAAAAACTGAAGCCTCGCGCCCCATTGGTAAACTCGACCCCAAGTGGGAAGGACCATATAAAATAACATAAGTGGTCAACACTGGAGCATATCGCCTTGAAAACCTTGATGGACACCCTATACCTAGAACCTGGAATATAGGGACCCTCAAAAGGTTCTAGACTTTGAGTTATACACCCACCTTACTTAAAAAATGTTTCAGTTGGCATCCGCATCCTACTCATACAAAAGTCGCTTTAAAACAACTACCCTTGCAGGCTTCGCGACCTTCCACGTCACTCGTCTTGCAAAAATATCTCTAAACACTCGAGAAGTTCCTACTCCATAACGAGGTACGTAAACGTCACATCCAAACTGGGGGGCTATTAATATTACTTACCTCAACATTCCATAACCACCTTTCACCATCTTCTTACAGACTGAGAATCAATTCCGAGGGGATGCCTTCCCCCAATCACATGATGCGCAAAGAGAGAAGATACTCCGCACTTTCTCACGAAGGGTAACCTCACTTCTACTAAGTGATATCACATGCACATATATTCGATATCTCTACTAACAATGTAATGCCATCCCATTTGACAAGCATGATTACGCAACAAATCACCGCAACTCACGAGTTGATTTCATATCTCTAAATGCGAGAACGAGACGCAGTCCCCATATTGAGTACGTGACTCTTTACTACACATCACCTCAACTTATGAAATGACTAAGTATTCAGTGCAAGTACTTAGAAACTTTCTACTATATTTTTCAGGCATAGAGACACCAAAGGCAATCGACATGCCACCAGCAAATCAAGCACGAACAAGTACAATGATGACATGGAAGAAAAAACAATTATTATTGCTACGTGGAATAATTTTCATTATTTCGAACCATTCGCTTTTTACAAGTGTATTTCCATAGGCTTGTAACAATTCGCACTCTCCGTCCATGAATAAATCAAGTTTTTGCTTTACTTTTAGTGTTATTGTTTCTATACTACTTAACCGTTATGACGGGTTGATATAATTATAACCCTACGAACACTTAGAGAAATTAAGATCATCTATATAACCTGGCCAACTGGATTATCTGAGTCTCTCTATTTTGTTTTAATGTGTCATCCATTTAAAACGTGGCCACGGTCCTAACATACTTACGACCCATCGGTCTAAACAAAGGGCACGACCCATAACAAAAGTCTTGGGAGACTGTTCCCCTCCTCAAGTACATTACGTACAATGCTAAATGTAAACACATATAAGCAACGCATAAAACTGTTGACAATGTCAAAATAAATAAATCAAAATATCAAACTTTAAATTTCAAACACGGAAGAAAATTCAAACGAAATAGTAGTGGACATACCCATCTACGTCAAAGATAAAAATACACTAAGTCCTCCACCCACAAGAGAAGTTAACTATTACCGAACTATCGCATATAACTCTAAGCTTTCCCATCACGAGCGGAAGACGCCACCGTAGTAGGATCATCAGCAACTATGTCATCCACAAGCTCACTGCCCGTCTCATTAACATCCTCCACATCCTCTCCCTCATATGGAATACCGGGCTCCATCCCTCGAATGACCCTCTCATTGATCCCACCCACCTCGCGAAGGTATTTGCGACAAGTGCGAACTAATGGCGTGTAGACTGCAGCCAAATTACGTTCCTCAATCATAGCACAACAAGCTGCACTACCTATAAGTAGCACCTCCCGACGTAGCGAGAAACCTCTTACCCGTCGATTTATCGTTCTCATACTTAGCTTTCAGCAAATCATACCACTTGTCCAACTTCGCAGCCTCATCCTTATAGGATTTCGTCTCACCATACTAACCTCAAGCTCCTCGCGATTCACACCAAAAGTAAACAACTGGTTCCCTGTCCACCATGGAACGCATACGGTACCTCCGGATCTACTAGAGGACGCTTCGGTGCAGCTACGTACTCAGTATCCATTGCCTTTCCCTTCCCAATGTCATTCATGGGATCCCGCACCTCCAATTCACCATCATAGCTACGGTCGTCTTCACTTACTCGAGGAGTTTCCACACAAACCATCTCTCGTGGCATTCCATGGGAAGACCCTCTCAAATTCATGGGAGCCTTTTTCAAAGACTTCATTGAAGACCATTCGCCTTAGCTCGAAGTGCCGCAAAGTAAATACTATAACTTGCAAAAATAGAGACAAAAGATGAATAAAACCGAAGAATTGCACATCAACAATATTAGACTTAGTAAAAAAAAAAGGCATGAGAACATTCGGTAAAACAAAAGGATATTCGTCACTGGCCGTCGTCCGAGATCAGACGCTTCGGATTAAACTCCACATCACACAACCTAGACTCTCTGATCCTCCTAGCCATATTCTCGGTAATCTTGAAGTTCTCACACCTGGGGTTCCAAATTAGGGGAACGTCAAAAGAGGGAGCCTTCACATAAAAGAAATGGGAACTTCCAATCTCCCCATGACAACTTCACACTCTTCAAAAACTTGTAAGGAACCCGCGGATGAGCACAAAAGAAGGGTAAATTGTTCGGTCGATATAACGTAAACAACGCCTTGAACAAATTGACACTACTAGGCAGCCCCACTTCCGACATCCTATGGTGAAACTCCTCAAACATAGGAACCACAGTCTGAGACGGCTGACTATACCCTATCTTGAACTCGTCACATATTTTCAACAAAGTCGGATGCAGAGTGATTCGGGAAGTTGATACGAACCCCGTAGAACTCGTTACGGGACCCAATACCTTACGCGGAAGCAATATCAAAGACATCCAAAAACAAAGATTCAAGTTTGGCTTAAGCAAGGAATAATGACCCTATAGCTATAAAGAGATACAAACCATTATTATCAAGGTGGAATATTGACCCCGTGGTTATAAAGAACCAGAAACCAATATTATGTCGCTAAAAAAATTACAAGAATCCACTTGCAAAATCCTGAAATTTGTTGTAGAACAGGGAAGGAGAATTAACTCTCAAAATACTCAAATATTCATTAAAATTCGTCCCTTAAAATAAACCTAATTGGCCACCTATTTATAAGGTTTAAAAGACTCATTTTTCACAAGGAAAATGACTCCTACCTAAACTATAATAAGTAAAGTAATAAATCAGCAAATCCTAACACTAAAGAACTCAAAAACAATAAAATAAAATAAATACTAAATAAAAACATAATTTAATAAATTATAACTTGATCTTCAAGTCGGCTTCTCGATCACCCTTCTAATCTCGCGTAGACAATTGGTTGTGCACGTGCATGAACTTCATGGTCAATTACGACACTGTTACACTTCGAATCTCTCTCCGCTCAAAACATGAAAGTTGTAGAACTTCCAGTTGGCTTTCTACAACAATTTGAATGACTTAAATTGGACATCATAAGAGAGCACTACACCAAAATGAACATTTTCTAACGGCACAAATTTCTTTCGGGATGCTTGAAATTCAACTTGTCCAACGAATTTCTGTTTTCTTTTCTTCCAATTCCAAACCAAGGACTCTTCAAAGGCCTTATTCAAGCATTTATTCTTCAATTCCAACCCGAAAGAACTCTTTAAACTTGTACGCTTTATCTTCTTCCAATTCTTCAACTTGGAGCTTGAGAGGATCGTATCATAAATACACGTCAAATACGCCAAATACACCGTTTGAAACCCAACAGGTGGAGAATACAAGCGCTCGCCCTTCTAAGGTAAAAGAGTTTCGATATTCCTTGGCACTCCAACCAACAGACGAATAGTCTGCAAATGCTCTTCACTCAATGTACTATCAACATCAACTAAATCAAGATTGATTGGTTTAATCTTTTTTTGACTCCTCGTATACATCTTAACATCACCAAGCGGAATATCATCTTCTTCTTCCACTTCAACCATCGCTTCCACTTCACCATTCGATCACGCAAGGTCACTCGACGAACTCAATTGATTCGACTCGTTACTAACACTCCCAAAATCCACAACTTGACGTCGATATCGATGCCTACTAGAACCAACCTCATCAGTAGTGGGACAAATATTAACATTTGGCTCAAAATCATCACTCCAAGCACCTACAGTCTCGCGAAATCCACGTCCAACCGTCCGATTATCGCGACCCACTTCGATTGGCACCTCCGGGAAACTCCACTCACCTACACGCGCCTCGGAGCCCCGTTCACAAGGCGTCAACGCGCGTCTACCCAACGAACCATCACTTGCACCCTGATGAGGCGGTGCGCCATGCGCATGAGATGCGCGCGCAATCCGCTCTCGTTTCCACGGACACGCGCGGGTCCCTCGTTTCCCGTGCGCAACGCGCGCAACAGCTCCCCCTCCCAGCCACAGACGCGCGCGCGCGTTCACCAAGAATCGTACACGATGCGCGCGCGCGTGCCTCGGTCGTCGTGCCAGATGTGCGCGCCCGTCCTCTTCACTGACCCCAGTCGCGCCGTCGGAGCCACTCCTCCCCTCGGTCGGCGCGCGAGCTGGCTCACCTCTCTCTCCTTGCCTCTCATTGAAGAAAACGCCCAGAGACAAGCCGAGCACAGCGGCGGTCGCTCCTCCCCAACGGCTGCAACTTAGCCATCTTCAACCCCCTTCAATCCACCGCTCTCATCATTTTGCGAACCAAGCCCCGACAACTGGACTTCCACATCCGACAAAACAACCCTCTCTCGCTCCATACCCACGGTACCAAACGACATCTCGCCCCTATTAACCGGATCTCGAAATTTGATCTGCAAGGATTTCGTTGCAGCATAATCAATTGAGACAACCCCCTTTTCAACCAAGTCCCTTATGAAACGATGACAAATATCAATAAGCTTAGTTTTCGAATGTTGAATTGGATTCATAAACTTATTTTTCGCACACAATTTATCACAATTCAGATTACCAAAGTTTTTATTCCCCAAACTAGCTTTGTCACCAGAACTGTTGGAACAGTTAGTACTTTCATCACATGATTTTAAAGAAGTAATGGCAGATAAAAAATTAAGATCAGACTCTTTACCCAGATTTTTTGTTGAGTTTTATTCACTAAATCAACCTTTATCTTGGGTTTTTGTGACGACACAAAAGTGTGATCAATTTTAGCGAAAAGTGGTGAGCAGGCCATTATTCTTTTAACCATTTTCAAGTACTTAAAACACCTAGGTCGTATATGACCAGGAACATGACAAAAATCACAGGTAGGGACAAAAACTTTTCTTTGAGATGATTGTGTTGATGCAAGTGTCGCAACAGTTTGTGAAACAGTGGATTGTTTAACAAAATTGATTTTTCTTTTTGGATCCTCTTTCCGTTTCAATGCATCATTAGATAGCTGATTACCCCCTATACCTATACGACCAGAGTTCGACTGATTTTTGGTCAAAATTTCATTCAAAGTTACCCTACCAGTATTAAACTTAGAAATAGCATCTTGGGTTTGAGCAATTCTAACCTTCAACCTATCTGTTTCTCTACTAGTAGAAATAGAATTTTGTTCAAGAGTAGAAATTCTTACATTCAAAACTTCATTTTCCTCTATGAGAACACGCTTATCCTCTTCAAGGCGCTTATTTACCTCCGATACTTCAAGCCACTTCCGATACATTTTTTCATATACATCTTTGACCTCTTCGAGGGTTGGCTGTTCATCATCACTACTGCTCTCAGAGTCACCTGCAAAATTAAATGGTGAAGTCAGACTATTGTCCTTATTTGAAGATAATTCATCATACCTGAGTTCTGTTGGACAGACTGTTGCAACAGTTTCAGCGACAGTCTCTTTGCACTTGCTTATGTGAGTAGTACCACTGAATGCCATAAAGTTTGTGGTTTGATCTTCTTTGTTGTTCTCATCCTCATCACTGTCCTCTTTATCACTCCAAACAGTGGTGAGTGACATCCTCTTTTTCTTCAAAGTGTTCGCACACTCGGCCTGAATATGTCCAAAACTCCCACACTCTCGACATTGCATTCTCCTAGACTTTGCATCATCAGAATAACCATTATTAGAAAACTTTTTAAATTTTTTAGGGTTAACATACTTACCTGATTTAGAGGAACTTCTTCTATTTTCAAGCTTTTGACGCAAGCTTTCGAGGTTATTTGACATAATTGCTAAGGATTCTTCAACATCAATGTCATACTCATGAAATGTTTGGTCTTGTGAGATGCCATGGGAAGCTTCAGCCTGGAATGCCATATTCTTCACCTTTTTCTTTTCTCGAATATTTGCTCTAAAATTCATTTCTTGGGTTTGCAGTTTACCCATGAGTTCATCTACCTTCAACGTATTGATATCCATCACTTCTTCGATTGCTGCAACTCTGTAAGCAAATCTTTCTGGTAATGAACGTAGTGCCTTTCTTACCAACTTTGTTTTCGAGTATTGTTCACCTAGTGCATACGATTAATTTGAAATGTCACACAATTTAGCGTGAAAATCAACAATCGTAGCTTCATGCTGCAGGTGACTTAGAGGTCCCTCAATCTTGTGGCTAGCATCTGCACTTAATGTTACAGTTGATGTGCTTCATACGTCATTGTAGTCTCCATGCCCTTTAGCTGATTCACACGATGCTATCAGTTTGAACTGATTGTCACCAACGCCACTGAAAATTGAGTTTATCGCCCTCGAGTTGTAATTGGCAAGTAATATCTCTTCATTAGTCCATGCTTCTTCTGGTTTTACCGTTTGCATACCATCCGTTCCTTTAGCCATGGGCGGGGTCCAACCAGTCACAATAGCACGCCAAACTCGTTCATCAACTGACTTGATGAACATCTTCATCTTCGATTTCCAGTAAGAGTAATTTGATCTATCCAAGAGAGGTGGTCGTACTGTAGACGCTCCTTCACGATGAAACATATATGCATAAAACAGATTAAAAAATTAAATCCCAAAATCTCACTAAGTGTATCTAGTGACAGGCTCTGATACCAATTGTTAGAATTTATTTCGTGCAGATATAAATTGTTTACGTCAGATTCAGTTTTTTCGTTACTGTTGCGTGAAGTGTTGCAATAGTTCATGAAGCTGTTCGTAAAAACAGTAATAAACGAGACACAAATTTTAATGTGGTTCGGATACAATTGTACCCTACATCCACGGGGACCTGCAAATGAAATTTACTAATTTTTTGTTTTACGAATACAATATTAGGACTTAATCAAAATACAAAGACTCCCTCTTTGTTGACGCCGTTCTTGTATACTACGCTGAATTATAAATCTTCAATTTGCAGCACGTCCCTTACTCCGCATGGTTGAACTCCCTTCAACGCTGAATCCCTCAGTCGGCGGATCGATCTCCTTCCGAGATCTGTTTAGCCCCTCTCCCGAAGAACCGAT